TTTTTACTCTTTAACATCCACTGGGCTCCTTTACTCTTTCATAAGAAAATCTGAGTGCTTGCAATGTCTCCTTTTCACTTTTTCACAGATCGCCAGTTGTCTTATTCCTTCTGATTCCATGTTGATGCCTCTTTGCTCAGCTTCATAGTCCCAGAAAAGGCTTTGGTCTGTCATTAATTATCATGGAATAAATAAAGATGTGAAAAAGTGATGTGAAAAAATAAAGATGTACAAAGTCTGTTGGAAATTAGAAGGGGGAAATTATGATTTTAATTATGGGTGACATCTAACAATTGTTAGATTCCTAAAGTTGCAGAGATACTTGAGGAGCTCTGAAAGTGGCTTGTTTTTATTCCAGTTCCAGCTTCTTGTTTATTTTCTTTTTAAGGATTTCCTGTTAGAATATTTTTGAATGAATGAGATGCACTGTTCAGAAGTTATTCTGGTACATGCATAGGTACAGGCAAGAGAGAAGTGCCATTCAGTTTTATGAATGAGTCACAGGACTGAAAAAATAAAGCAGAGAAATAGAGGTGGGTTATATGACCATTACTTTAAGTCCAGCAATAAGATACTTCTCAGCATGCCAATTAACTGACATATTCATGTGGAGAAATCTTTTTCAGTATAATACATTCAACAATAATTTGTAAGCATGTATATAAAGACTACACATGACTGCAAACTACAAGTTTGACCATCCGGTTAAAAAAAATACCCACATTTGCCTTGCTTCTTTTCTAGTAGTGAGCCCTAATCCCCCCAAAAAAAGAAATTTAATGACCAAATATTTCTATTAGTAGCGATGGTAGTATTCTACATGTTCCACAGTGACTACACATCTTTAACCAAGTCAAAGACATAGCATATTTATCTCAGCAATGTACTTTCATGCCATGAAGATGAAATATACATAAAAAAGAGACAAAAAATACAATGTAACTCAAACTTCTGCTGTATCATCTTTATTGAAAGTAGCTGTGGTATTTTTTATGTTTACAGAATTTGGTTCATGGATTGGTTTTATGTATTTTTAGCCGAAAATCTCTGAAAATTTATTATGCCTACTTAATAAATTAGCCTCACTTCATCAATTCAAGTGTTAAATTTAATCTACAGAAAAATTTAAAGAATGATGCAAAAATTGAACTGTGAGATTAACTGAATTCAATGAGACTTGTTTTAATAAAAGAAATAATAAGAAGTAATTTTGCCATCAGCAACAGAATATGCTCATGGGATCAAGAAATCCTGGCATGATGGAAAAACATCAGTGGCAATGATCAGCCATTGCCAGATGCTTACAGCAACAACAGTGGATTACATTCTTCAGGGGTCATTTCAGTGTGTTTTCAAAAATTGGTCTTTTTGTTTTGCTTTGGGTTTTTTTTTTTTAATTATTCCTTTAATGCCATTTAAAGAAAATCGGTTTAAAAGAAATTAATTTGAATTTCATAAATGGTTAGCATAGCATTTTGTGTTGTTAAGAGACAGTACTAGAAACTCTGGATGTAGTAGAAAAGAGGAAATGTAAGATCATCGTCTCTACAAATGAAACCACACATCCCACAGTCACGTAGATGTCAGTCAGTTGTATGTGGGTTTTGATGACAATTTCTAGAGCACATTTTTGCCCACTGATTCATGGAAAACTAAAAACATGACAAAAAAGTGAAGAAAGGAAATATTCTTGCTACTGAAATAGGATGAAATAATCTAAGTTTTAACTTTTAGGAACACTTACAACTTTTCATTTAAGGCTGGTTTAAGTTAAACTGCCTGTTTACATCATTCCTCTTTGAGTCCTTCCTACTGATATAGGTAGGATGCTGACTGTCAGGTGAAGTCAGACCCATGAGTGGATCTGGCTGAATCATTCTTCTTTCTGCATTACTTTTCAGCTGGATCTAATGCCCTACTCTGATGAACTTCACACTTTAAAGACTTGCAATACTGAGAGAACAGAGAAGAGTGGCCAAAGGGAGGGGCTGCTTACAGTAAAGGCTGCTGTCAACAGGAATTTGCATTTCACAATAGTCAACACAGCCCTGGCTCTAGCTTCCTGAGCAGATTATTGCTATCACTTATCGTGAGGAGTATTCGGGATATGACCTCCCCAAATTAATTTGGCATAAAATTCCGTAGGCCCCTTTAAAAATTTGTATCTCCAGTTTCAATTTTGTGTCTCTCAAATACATTGGAGACATGTAACAATAGAAAGAAGTACTTTGCAGGCCTTACAGAGACATTTTAAAGCCACTGCCACTAGAATGATGGATTCTTACACTAAAGTATGCCCATACTTTACACATATTCTTACACTAAAGAATGCCTTTCCACAATGCCCTTGCTATTCTTAAACTTTTCTTGGTCTTTGATCAGTATTTCCAGGGATCTTGGGTCTCCCTCCAAAGCTTTCTCTCCCTTCTCAAAAATCTCTGAATGCTAGAATATACAGTTAAAGGTTCTGTTAGGAAAAATGCAATTTCATTACACTATGAAATTGTTCATTTTGCTTTTCACATCTTTATTTGCTTTCCTTTGGAAGCTCCAGGCTCTTCACTAGCATGGAGAAAATGGTTCCCCTTGACGATTTCTATCAGCAGCTCTTCTAGAGTGTACTGTGCATTTTTACCCTTTTACTCTGGATGTATATGCCACAATGGCAGTTACAGCATACATTGAAGCATTCAATGATGCACAGTTTTATAAAACTAATTAGTGTTACACAAGTAAGTGTCTAAAATGTGCACACACATTCAATTAATGTATTATAATAGTATATAGGCATATTAATACACTGAATTTGAAATAGGTACATAAATTACAAGATACATATGAACTTAGATTCATCAGTATTGAACTAAATCATGTCTGACACAAACGGAGAAATACTGTCAATAGCATTTTCTTCTTAGCCCTATATAGATCTCCCTCACTGCTGTATCTGAATGCCTAAAAAGCAAATCATAGAATAATTTACATTGAGTCTACCCATAAATCCAACACTGCCAAGCCTACCACGAGAAGCACCACATCTACATGTCTTTTAAATACCTCCACAGATAGTGAGTCAACCACTTCCCTGAGCAGCCTGCAGACTGGGAAGTGAGTTACTAAGATGTAGTTTACTAAAGACTTAGAAAGCAGAGAAGCAGAGAAAGCAGAGAAGAGACTCACTATGAAGTCTCAAGTTCTGGCTATAAGCAATCAATGGTAGTTTCTAGAGAAATGGCTAGATGTGACACAGAAAACCTGGCTGCTTCTTGAAACAATCAGTAGGAAAAAAACATGCTTGAATGTTTGGATGTCATCTGTGATTTTTGGAATAGCTTTTGTAGACTGAATGTAAATTTAATGTCGTAGAAGATACTTCTGTGTTTGCCTCTGGGCAATGCTAGAGAGAAAAGTCTGAAGTGTGCTTAATATCCCCAGCTGATTGATAAGCGCAAAAGGTCAGTTTGGATAGTAATGATCTTGAAATTGGTTTGCCCCTGTAATTTGTGCTATAAATTCAAACCATATTAACTGGTTGAAAGGAATGAAGTTTTGCTATCTTGGACTACCTTCTGTAACAAGTGCATAGAGCTTATTAAAGATTTATTTAATTCATGGAAATATAAATGCAAATGCATTGAGCACTATACTGTTCCACTGTTAGAAACTTCTTAGATTAACATGACAGTCCAGCTTCCTGTATTGTAGGGTTTTGGCCTCTGCTATTCATTACTGGTTTGATACATAATGCCAGAATTCAATCTATATTACATAGGTCACCATGTCCCCAGTTACTTTCACAGTATTACATTATGTGCAAATTTTAAAACAACCACCTTTTAAGTTGCAATAATTGAATGGTCACAACCTGGAAAATACAAAATGCTATATCCCTGTAGCAATTTAATTTGTCTGTTATTTATGCTCCATGTAAAAGTCCAGAAAAAGAAAACAGACTCATTAGCACTGTGTATTACATTTTTTTAGGCATATGTTGTTTTCCTGTTTGTTTTAATACCAAAGCCATTACCAATTACAGTTCTCATTTAGAGGAGTAGGTGGCATCAAGTCCACGTCCTAGTCAGCTCCTGCAGGCAGACTGGCAGAAATGTTCCTCATGCTGGGTGAAATATTTACTGCTGAATAACATACCTCAAAACAGATACTAACTAATTAATTATTCATTTAAAACTTTCAGCCGGACCTATGCAATGTAAGGAAAGTAGGATTTAGTGAGCTTATTAAAGTTATTAGGAAAATTTCTGTAAAAGCAAGTGCATTTGGAAACCGTTTAACATGAAAATCTCACCAAGTCATTGGCAAGATTCAAATGTCTATTTTTAATGTTTTTCTTCCAGTCACACAATTGTGCTGGACCTAGAGTAAACAAAAAACCACATTTACCTGATGGAGTTATCCCACTGGAATAATTTGTGCAAATAAAGTTTAGCACATGTCAAGGGGTGCAGGCTTAGGTCAAAAGCATGGAAAATTTCCAGCATCAGAAACAAAAGAATATGCTCATGGAATAAAAAATGGGAAATGTTTTATCGTTTCAAGTAAATAGAGACACACCTAGTCCTGGAGAAGATGGAAATCTGAGTCTAAAACCCCTTTTTTTAGACTGTGCCCAAGCCTCAGGACATATTTACCTTGTAAAGATCCCTGTAATTCTGCTTGCCCAGTTGTGTACGTCCAATACCTGACAGGAATACACAGTTTCTGTCTGGCTCTTATGCCAAGGTCCCCACTGCAGACTGAAACACAACTGCAGGTGCTAAGAGGCAATGGGATGGTAAATACTCTAGTTTTTGTCCTATTATAATTCTGAGATGTAATGAAGGTACACATGTGGCTGTGCAAAGCAGAAAGCATTCCTGGGCTCTGTGGTGTAATATTTTTTTTACTTTCTGTGGTCATCTGCAGAAATTATTTGTGTTTGATTTTGCATACAAAAGAACTGTGATTGAGACAATGAAACACTTGGATTTTAAATGCAGTGAGTCAAGAGAAAGAATAATCAAATAACAAAACACTGAACAGACTAAAGTGTAAAATAGATGTTTTCATTTGCTGTCTTTGAAAACAACAAAATTGCATCAAGTATCTCATGATCCTGAAGTCAAAAATAAAAGTGAGAAAGAAACATCTATAGCAAATGTGAAAACAGAGCTCATGAGTGAAAATGTAATGGCTTTGAGCATATTTAGATATATAGACAGGAAATGTTCATATTTGATCTACAGTCTGGAAGTTATGGTGGTTTGATTGGCTTGTGTCTTAGCTTCCCAACCACTTCTGATTTTTCTTATCCTCTTCCTGAAACATGGGAGGAGCAGTACACATTTACAAAGCAGAACTACAATAGGAAGAAAAACTGCAACCATAAATGAAGGTGGCGTATACCAGATGAATTGGTTAGCATCAACCCACTTGTTCCAAGCAAACACCAGTGCATGAACAGTGCATAGCAGAAGGGCTAAGTATCCCATCTTGCTCTGAAAAGACAAAGAAAATAGCAAGCTATTTATTTTTCCCAACTTGGCAAAAAAAGTAATCTGTTAAGCAAATACAGAAATCTGGATGGGCCTTGACCAACATGCTCAAGTTTAAAAAAAACAACCATTGGCTTTAAATGAAAAGGTAACAAATATAAGTCAAGATTCCAACTGTACTCCATTGTGCCACTGTAAAAGAAAATGGAAGAGGCACATTTTTCAAGTATTGCTATGATACTTAGCTAAAATACAGAAGAGATTGAGAGATTACAGGTTATTCCTGAAACATGCTCAATTCTGAATATCTCAATTTCCATCTGTATACTAAATTACTTTAATTCTGTGATAAATCATTATAAGTTCAAAACCAGATATATTAAGGGATTAATTTAATACTTGCAGAGAAAAAAATTTAAGCTAAATTAAAATCACAAACTCAAGGAAGTCTAGTACTATGGCAAAAGCCCTTCAAAATGACAGGAAACTCAAGTCCTTAATTTCATTTACAGTGGTAAATTTGGCTTAGCTTGTCTACAAAATTCAGGAGTAAAGAAAATTTACTAGTAATTCTAAATTTCTTGTCACTTAATAATCTTGGACTCATCAGTGAAGTCGAACACTGTATTTCCAAATGCTGAATGCTTCAGCTTCCAACTGCTGTTCTGCTACAGAACATGATTTTTAAGTAATAAGGTTATTTGTTTATAAAGTAAGTCCAACACAGAAGTATTACTCATCTGGATTTCTTCACCACAGTCTTTCAATAGTGAAAGCAGTCATGCATTTGGAGACTTCCTCCTGAACTTTTCTATATTCTCTGTCTGTTAATCTTACAAATTATAGACTTCATAAAGTGTGCAGAATATCAAATCAATAATTGGTGATTATACACTTCAGATCTGCTTTTAAAATATAAATCAAATTTTCAAATGTCAGGTCCTTAGCAGATTATTGAATTTTCAGATTTTGGTGTTTGAGGACTTGATCCAACGCTTGCTTAAGTCTAGTGTGACCATACTGATGTTAGCAGAACCACCCTGATTATTACTGCATATGATGTAAGAGAATCAAGAGCAACCCAAAGTGCCGGGTTAAGGAAACAAGCACAGCTGTAGCAAACTCAAGACTGGCTGGATTTGATTACCCAGCATCTGTTCTATGATATCTCTTTCAGAATACACTGTGTCATATAGGAACAGCATTGACTGCTTCAATGCCACCTTTTCCAAATTCAGCAGGACATTGGATGTTCCACAGAGATAAGATACCCAGAAGATGACTTCAGCACCACAGCTAAGAAAAGGTCTCAAAGGGACAACTGCTGCTGGTCACAAAGTCAGGAGGAGAAAAAAAAAAGTGGTATGGAGTTGTCTTTTCTTTCCATTTTATAAACTGAACACAACACCCTATTCTCTTGACAAAAGAGTAATGGAAAGAACATTTCTCACAAACCAGTTAACAAAGAGTACTGAACAAACTTTTCCATTGGTTTCACTAACTTTGTGTTTGATATTTCCAACTCCTAATGGTCTTAGCTGATAACATACAGTTCTACAAATGGGACTAACAACATGCAGTAATGATATTCATGCTCACCTGAATGTAGTGGAACTCTCTCCAGGTCAAAGAGTGACTTACAGATGGAATTGATGTTATTGCCAACAGGGCCAGCAAAGCAAGTCCGAGGATTCCTAGAGACACATAAATCTCCATTCTCCAAACATCATGTTCAATCCAGGCATTTTCTTTTTTTTGTTTTACCTGCCAAAAGAACACCATAAAAATTACAGACTGGCACACTTGGTTGTTTGTGTTAAATATAATTTCACTTTTTCACCGTAATATTAATGAAATAAGCAAAGAAAATCAGTATTTTGGTTTGTCTGAATGTCTTTGAATGTAACTGCTATTTATTTCTGATGACAGTCTTCACTAGTATTTCCAGAGAGAAGGTGAGCTTTTAGAGAGAAGAATTTAGATAATCAGTGTCTCAGCCCAGGAGAGCATGATTCTGAGGCCTCTTAACCTGCCTTCACAGCAAGGATGAATCTTGGTTTTGACAAGAAAAAAAACCCACGTATGGCTAAATACCGTATCAGGGAGATTATAACAACAGGAAATATATTAACAGCTCTACTTCAGGGAGGTAATTCAACAGGCCTTCTTAATAAAAATATCCTGACAGGGTAGCTGTTTAGCTCTGTTTTTTTAAAAAAACCACAACTTGGTATATTTGTGATTTTAATAAACTGATGTCAAAGCTTCTTTCTTCTATTTACAACTGCCTGCAACAGCACTTTGATCTTGCTAGTGATCACCATGGCATAATATGCCCCAAATATGATAATTTCTACATCTTCAATACTGGAATCTCAAGGAAATTTCTAATAATCCATTTAAGTCAGATTACCAGTAAAGCTGATTTCAGAGTTTTCAACAGGTAATTTGACTGTTTACAAAAACCTTAAGAATCTACTGACATCATCATATTGTGCTTTTAATGATTTTTAATAATAAATACTTCAGGTGTAATAAAACATATTTGCAGTCCATACCTTATATTGAAATATTCCTAATAACGCATTACTTATGGTATCCAAGGAAATAAGTGAGCATTAGAAACTCTCTGGTTATAGAGGACATTGGAGAGCTTTGCGAGCCAATTATCGACCATGAATCAGAAGTGTCATTGAAATCCTACCTTTAAATGAAGTACTGTGCATTAGTCCAAATGTGAGCCATCAGTATTCACACATTTAGTTTGTGCAAATACAGATTACTGTGATTTAGCTCAGCCCTCCTTCACTGCTGGCTGGTTCACTTTGCAAAGGTGTCTAAAAATATTGTGCTCAGTGCTCAGTTTTTGTTTCTAGATTTCACTGGTCCAGAGAAGAAATCTACACTAAGCTAACAGTGCGCTCAAGACTTAAATGTTCTGTGAGATACAATTTTGTGCATTTTACAGATGGAAAAAAATCCCAAATTAAGAAAATTATTTCATATACATTGGCACAGCTGTGATGACTCCTGACTCTATTACTTTGGGAACTAGGTCCTGCTCCATCCCTGAACAGTGCTCTCTGTAAATGTACTTGAAAATCAAACAAAGGCAATGAAAATGGCTTTCCTCCATCAGATTTGCAAGGATTTTCTGAATACAGAAGGGTTGGTGTTTGTGTGCCCATCATACCTGCTGGAATGCCCAGTTCAGCAGCTTGTATCTGTAGGATCTTCTCATTGGATAGCACAGGCTATAGCAGGCGTGCAGTGTAGCGAAGAAGAAACTGAGAAGTCCAAATTGTTTCCTTGATAACATCCATCTATCCAGCCACTGGGGAAACCTTTTATACTTGGTGCCAAAGTACAGCTGGAAACTAGCAGCTAATATTCCTGGTAAATACACTAGTGCTAAAAGGGTAATTGAAGTCACTGGTAAAACTTTGTTTATGACAAGGATTGGAATTTTATAGAAAACCTTTTCCTTTTTGGTTATAAAAGGATATATGACATCTCTCATGGAAGTGTAAATAAATGTTAATAATGAGATCACAGATGCTATCTTCATTGGCAAGTGCCACTTAGGAAACAGATCCTGCTTGCAGTGCTGTTCTGAAGAATGTTCAAACTCACCAAAATGGTGTGCTTGATGTAAATCAAAAAGTGCAGCTGCTTCTGATGCATTGGCAACCTGCATATCCACATTCTGGAAGGGACAGAATGGAAATACAAAGTGAGTTCAAGAGAAGATTAGAAACTTCTGTAATGACAGTATTTGCCATCACAGCTTTTACAACTCACTGCAGTGGAACCATATACAAAACATATGCACTGTTAAAGACAAGGTAACTTGGAAACATAGTATTTCAAACAGCATAGTCAGCACGTAAGTAAAGCACTTGAAGTATAGATTTCCCGTTCTTCATTATCTGCAGTGATTTTAAAATAGATTTTCATTCCATGAAGATAACTATATTGCAAGGAAGGAAGGATTATATTATGTAAAGCATCATTTCAGCTACTTATTATATAAGCTATAGATTTCAAATGTCAAATTTCAGCTATAAACCTGATGATGTAGCCCAAATACCACGCACAAGAAAGGATTAAAGGATTTTTTTTTCTGGACCTTTTTTGTGTGATGTGGAAAACTTCCTGAGTGCAATGTTGCTATGATGAAGATTCCCCCAAAGATAAATTTTATATTCCTGCGTAAAAATCTCAAATTATTTCTATGGAGTTTTGCTCATCTGGTAAAATAAAATTAGCAGCTCCCTCATGTAGTTTTTAGCTGCCTCAAACTTTGTTTATTTTTTAACATGGACTGTGATTAAATTAAATTAGATGTTATCTATCTTTTTAATCTCTTCATGTCAATATTGTGACAACATTTCAGAAATATTCATGATATGCCAGAGTGATGCTAACACTGTCTCTGGACAAAAGTAAATCAAAAATTGCAATATTCTATGTGACATATGAGCTGGTTTTTTTTAACAGAAACATTACCAAGTAGTTAAGATTTCCTGTATTTCTTCTTGGCATGATGCTCTGACCTGCATTCTGATCAATGGCATGATTACCACCTTCTCTTTTCTCCATTGTGGAAACTCCCTGCAAAACAAATACAGGATGTAAAACAGGTTTTGAAATGCCATACTGGAACTTTGAGGCCTATTTTCCCTCAAATTGTTTTCTTCCTTGTCCTCCACACATTTGCTGGAAAAGGCAGAATCAACTAGGGAAAGGAAAGGCTGTCCTCTGAGAATGGAAAAAAAACTCAGCTTATTTCCTGGGTAAAGCAAAGAATAAGAGAGAGCATAAATCAATAGAACAAAATTACTAATGAAAAATAATATTTAAGCCTGTCACCAGCAGAATGAATGCATTATTAAAGTTTTAAATGACAATAAATTAGTTTGAAACAGCTTGCATAAAAAACATGTAAAAAGTTGTGAAGATGGATTTTAAGTTAATGAGATTTTCTGATGCAAGAAGCCCATGGAGATGTGGTTTCTAATATATTTTAGGGTTTAGGATTGGTCTACCTGACAGTCACTCTGGGGCTTTAGAGGTGTATTCTCCCTTCAAGATGGTCAAGAAACTGTAGCTTCACTCATGCTGTTGCCAGGTATTTTGGCAATACTCATCACCACAAGTAGCAGCTGAAATGATTCTAAGCTATTAGGAATTACAAAAAATCAGATGGCAGAAAAAGAAGAAAAAAGGAAGAGAATTGATAAACTGAAAGAGACATTTCTGAAAATCCTAGGACAGCAGGAAAGACATTATTTTGAAGAGTGTAAAATAAATACAGGGCCTGAAAGCACCTTGCAATAGGACTTGCCAGGGGTGTGTCACACTGTTGCACACTGCAGGAGGAGAGGCTCTGGCACCATGCTACTGGAAGCTCAGAGTGCTATACCACAGGGTGACTTTCTGTGACAACCTTTAAGAAAATTACTAGATGGTTCTTCCATTTACTTTCCCACCAAACAGCCAAATTACTGGATAGTAAACCCTTTTTCTAACTACTGATTCTTTTAGATCCATAAATCTTTTGGGAAATTATATGGAGAAATCAGACAATTTTCCTTCTTTTATTGTGTCTGGTTCCTTCAGTGGATGAGTCCTACAGTATTTTACTGTCTGCTATAAGGATTTGCTCTCTGCCAGGCCAACAGGTACCTGAAGCTGAAGTATTCTCTTTGGATTTTTCCCTCCTGGTAGTCAGCTCTCCCTTTGAGCATAACCCTTCAGAGTTATGTGTTGTAGAGGAGGGTCAACAAGAGTTCTGTCTGAAGGTCAGGCTGTTAAGCCATTCCTACACCAGCTAATGGTGTAGGAAAAGGTTATCCTTTGTATATCCTGCACACAAGAAAGCATGGACTCATGAAGGCACACTTTCTTCCCCCCCTCCCTATTCCTAGCGCTAGTTCTGGTGATTTTATCACAAGTTTTGGGGCATCGTGTATCTTCAAAAAGCTTCAGATGTTAAAATTTCTACTTCTACATGTTTCAATATACATCATTTCGAGCTGTTAAAATTCAAAGAATAGTTTACTAATAGAACTTAGTAGGGTGATCTTACCTTTAAAAAACCTAATAACACATACAGTGAGCCCCACATCTATTTTTAAGGAACTCGTAATATGAAAGGCAGCCATCATTTCTGAGGCCTACCTTCTGGCTACTACACTGTCTTAGAGGTCCAAAAGCATAATTTAGTTTGGGAAGCTCTGTATGGAAAAGCCTGATTCATCCAGTTTTCATGTTCCTATCACTCTTCATTCAGAAAATTTAGAAACAAGGTGTCCATTATTAGTTTCCAGTTAAGGGTTTATATTGATGAGGATGTAATAAATGATACCATGATGTGAACAAAAGCAACCCATGAGCTAGAATGCCAGTGCTAATCCTGAAAGCTTATTTATTGTTTTTTTTTGGGATACAATATTTAATACAATGTTAAATACAGCGTTAAAGGTTCATGCAGCAGAAAACAAGACAGAAAGAAAAAAGAAAGTGTGTGTGAATGAATGCACGTGTTCATCCAGGGAACTATGGATTTCAGCCATGCAACTGCATGCAAGGAAACTCAAGTGTCATACCATCATATTCCACTTGGCTTCTGATACCAGTTAACACAAAATTATTTCCCAGTAACAAAGCACAGTAATAGTCTTTGAAAACCCTAAAAGAAGAGCACCTACAATTCACTCCTCAGTGCCTTAGAAATTGGCAGAAAGAGATCATCTCGACTATATATATTTTTGAAATACATATGAAGAAAAACTAGGGGTACTGCAAGAGACAATGTTAGCCATCTAACTCACAACTGTTATGAAAGCAAACAGTTATATTAACGTCCATCCTCGGTGCACATCCCTTCTGCTCTGGGACGCAGCTGTCAGTGAGGGTGGAGGCTGTGCTGCTGCAGAAAGCCGAGTTTCCAGTGCTGTGAGTACAGTACTGAATTTTGTACCGAGACAGCATGCTCATTGTAACGCCGAGCTATCAGGGATCCACACTGTGCAGACATTATCCCGAGAAAAAATCATCCCAAGTCATAGGGAGGTTTTCCTGAGTAAGGGGTTTCAAGACTGGTTCCACGAAAAAAGAAAAACGGGTAATATAAACAGGCTATGAGAATAACGAGGAGGTGATGGAAGAGGTGCGGGATAGTTCCTGCACCCCTCTCTCGGCACTATCAGAAAATTACATCGTGAAACTGCTGGGTAAAAGCGTCTCGCTTTCCAAGTGCCCGCTGCATCGTGCAGGACACTGCAGGCACTCGGCACGCGAGTTCGTAACTTTCCATGCTCTTCAGAAAGTCTGCTGAGCTCGGTGGAAAACTGAACGAAAGCGCAGAGGGTGGGAGCGGAGAGCGTCGCTCGGCGCCCCTCGGCCAGAACGCCCCCGGGAGCCCGAGCCCGCTCCCCGGCCCGGCCCGGCGCGGCGCGGCGCGGCCGCGTGGCGGGCGGGGCGGGCCGGAGCGCGCCGCAGCCCGGCCGCCGGGCGCTCGCCGGCACCTCCGCGGCGGCTCCGGGCTCGGCCAGCGCCCGGCCGGCCCGGCTCACTCACCTCGGCCCGGCCGCCCGGCCTCTCCGTCCCGCCGCAGGTCCCGCCGCGGGCGCCGACAGCAGCGGCAGCCCCGGCTCGGCTCCGTCCGCGGGGGGCAGCGCCCGGCGGCGCCGCTCGCAGGGGACGGCGGCCTCGGGTCAGCAGCTGAGCGCCCGCCGGGCTCCGAGGAGATGAGAGGCGGGGGAGACCGGCCGCAGCCTCCACCTCCCCTCCCGGCCCCGCCTTCCGCGCCCATCCCGCTCCCCTCCGCCCGGCGGTCCGCGCCGCGGTGCCGGGCCCCGTGCCGAGCAGCGGCGGGACGGCCGCGGGGCTCCCGTCCGACAGCGGCCGGCCAGAGAGCGCCCGGCCGTGGGTGTGCCGGACAAAGGGCGCATTCACCTGCCGCCTCCCGCCCCGCCGCAGGGAGGAGGGGGAGGTGGTGCCGAGGTGCGCTTTCCCCCGGCGCCCCTCGCCTCCCCCGGCCGGACCTCCGCCGGCAGCCCCGCCGCTCCTCCGGGTGCGCGGTGGGGTCACGGCGCGCCCCGGGCCCGCCGCGGCCCGAGCGCTTCGGATCCCGGGAGCCCTTCTGCTCTCCTGGCATTCCGCTCTCCCGTGCCTGCCCGTTCCCCCGAACGCGTCACTCTCCTAACCTGACAACATGCCCTATTCATCCCTGCTTCTCACACGAGCAGTCCTCACTTAATTTTTTTTTTCCTAAAGTACCATGATCTGTAAGATTTTTGTTGTTTGTTTGTTTGTTTTTAACCGCTGCTGGCGATTTTGAAAAGGCAGCTTGTCTCCTAAGATTTTAGTCACACAGTAGTGTAAGCTATCTTTATCTTGTGAAATCTCTGTTTTAGTGCATATTTTGACATCCTAACATTGAAGAACATGTGGCCAGTTTGTGTCAGAAATGTTTTCATGCAGAGCTCATTGTATCCTCGTCAGGATGTCTTCCCAGAAATTATGCCAAATTCCATGTCTTTGCATCTTGGGAGGGGAATGGATTTTTTTTTTCTCCTTTTCAGTAGATGTTAAATGGACGTAGGTTCCAACTGAATGCTACATCTTGAAGAAAATAGGAGATTGCCTTAGAAGTAATAGGAGACAGAATAATTGTATCTCCTGTGTTAAAAGCTTAAGTTTTAATATTTTTTTTTTTGTTACCTTTATTAGCATATTTTTCTGTGCTTTGCATAAAGGCTATTTCCCACATGTTTTCTATTAGTTACTTTTTTTGCAAGGGATGCTAACTTGGGTGTGCTCTCACTTTGTGCAAGCGCCGTTTGTTTTCCTTCCCTGCTCCTTTTTTTCTCGGTCGGTTTGGGATTTTTCCCCGTTCCCATCAGCAGGGTGACGCCTGGCGGTGGGAGCGCAGGGGAGGAGGCTGCCTGTGCCAAGGTGTGCCGGGCGGTTCCAACCCTAGCTAACGAGACTTTGCAGTCCGGAGGGCTAAAAGCATGTTCCTAGCGAACTCCTTGGCAAAAGTGCCCTCTCACTTCTCAGCCCTGGTGTAAGCTGGTCTTATGGGAACTACATTTATAAAAGCTCAAGATTCTGAGAGATTGCCGCATCTGGATATACTGTCTTAAGAACAGAATATACTATCTTAAGGATATCCTTAAGATATCCTTAGGGTTTTCATAAAACACACAAGAGCTCAGCTTCTGCATACACGTTCTCAGAAGATGAGATGAAAAGCCAGCCAGAGTGTGAACCTGGCTATTAAATATGTACCTGGTAAGCTGTTCTGGCACAAATGCTTTTAGGTATCTCTGGACAAGCAATCCCCCTCCAGTCTGCATCCTGAATACTATTAGGTGTCTGTCTGTGAATAAAATTGGAAAGCTGATTTTACGTGGGTGTTGACAAAGTGGAAATAGATTCAAATGCTAGTGAAATCTTTCCTTTCATGCCTACCCTAAGGCATGACTTCCACATCACTCAAAGTGCTACTTATATTAGAATGGTTACTGGAAAGCAAGCTGCATGGCAGTCCTGCAAGCCATTATGCCCAGATGATACCAGTGCATACTCACAGCTTT